TAGTTTTCTTCCAAGAAAAATATGACCAAAAGGGAATATTTAAACCCTTTGGGTTCCCTTTTAAATATTATACCATTGATAAAGGCAGTACAGTGTCAACCGTTTACATGGTACTCCCTAAGGTGCCTGGAGCAATGCCCTAAATACCCTCAAAACTGTAGTTCACTCTACCCAACCTGACCGATGTGTGACCGTGGGGAGAACGTGTTTCCTCCAGCAGGAGAGCTTCCCAGCCCTGTTCTGCTAGTCCAGTTCCCTGTTCTCTCCTTTCTGGCTCCATCCTCACGGCGTCATGTTCAACGGGAGAGGACAGCACACACGTGGGACTGAACGCTCACTGCCGTCACTCTCCCTCCCTCCATATCTACCCGCCTTCTGGGCAGATGGGAAGACAGGGGAAAAGAGGATCTTCTGATTGTTGCAGAAAACAAAAAGCTCCTCAAAATGTTCGAGAAAGAGCTTTCTCATTCAGCAAAAAAGTTCAGCGCCTACAATCAGGCTAACAGTCTAAAAGAGGAAACATCGTGATGCATTATCCATCATTCTGCTTGTTATAGAATTTCAGATTCGTAACAGGAGGTAGAAAAACAAGCTATGGGAAGGGGTTCTACAATTTAATAGACATGGGGGTGTTTAATTAAAATGAAGGGTTTTTTTTTAACCAAATAAATTTGCCCCTTCCTGCTTTGTTGGTACCAGGAGTTATCCGAACTAATGTAACTGAAACAGAATTACTAATAATTACTCTAATGGAAAACATTAAAAGGTGTGACCTGTAACATCCTGGGAACAAGATCCCCCAGACAGAAAAAGGAACAGAGCAGGCTGGGACATTCAATAAAAACTTCCGTCACAGCATAAAGTGGGCTTCATCTGCCCCAGACAGGGAAGGAGCCTCGAAGCCCCTGTTGCTCACTCTGCCACACCTCAGTGTCTCTGCCTGGAGAACGAGGCTGTCACATCAAAGACTCAAGGTCCTAGGAGTATTCATCCCTGCCCTGATTTGGGGGGATCAAGGATCCATAAAATACAGCACACACCAGGAGACCTTCCAGAGCCTCTGAGGCACAAGAGCAGGGATGGCCAGTTTGGTTGTCAGTAAGGAAAAGTGATTTTATGTACTGTCAGTCCAAATTTGGGACCATTATCACACCTACACAGGGGCCGACTATGCCCTTAAGGTAGCAAGAAATTCAGGTTGGAAGACTGAAAAGGAACTCACACACACTGCTAGAGGAAATGTAAACTGGCACGACCACTGTGGAAAACACAGTGGCACAATCTAACAAATTCTAAGAAACTAACATCCTACAACCGAGCAATTCTGCTCCTACAGATAAACCCGAGTGAAGACTATGCTCTGTATGCACCTGGAAACAGGCACAAAAATGTAAAATGGTCAAAAATAGAAGGGATCTTAATGTCCACCAACAACAGAGTAAGTAGTAGCATAACCTAATCTTATGCTAGTATTCTAACACTAAAAATGAGTTACAGGCTGATAGAGAAGAAACTAAGAAATACAATGTTGAAGGGGAATGTCACAAAAGAATACAGAGTATGTTTTAACTAATAAGAAGTTTTAAAAAGTGGAAACTAAGCCATGTTATTTAGGGATGCACAGGTAGTGAAACTCGAAGGAAAAGCAAGGCAGTGGCTGCTGTAACAGGCAGCGTAACACCTCTGACGGGAAAGACGTTGTCAATGTGACTGGGAAACGGCGAGGTGTGTTAGTACTTCTGGGGTCCAGTGATGTCTGTATGTCTCTCCCTCTCTCTCCCCATTCCCTCCACATAGTTGGGTTCAAGGCCCTCCCCAGACAATTAAAATTAAAACTC